TGCCCGGCAAGCTTCTGGGATCCTCCTGTCTCTGCCTCCCCAGTACTGAGGTTACAGGTATGTGCCGCTGTGCCAGGCTCTGTAGGTGAGTGTGGGGTTCCTAAGTTGTTCTCACACTTGCAGAGCAGGTGCCTTGTCCACTGAGCCATCTCCCCAGACCCTGGATCAGTTTTGAGAGGTGAAGGCAGGGGTACAACCAGCTGTGAGGCCACTTGCTTGTATTCTCAGCACTTAGAGGCTAGGGCAGCAGATATATGAGCTCAAGGCTCAAGGTTAGTCCAGGCTACACTGTTTCGAAAAAAGAAGAAAAAAAAAGTAAAAAAAGGAAAAACCTTTGTACAACTTCAGTACAGATACAATTTTTCTTTTTCCAGTCCACAGTTGGATCCAGTGGTGGCACAGACCCATAATCCCAACACTCAGAAGGTTGAGGTAAAATGATTACCCATAAAGTCAAGGCTAGCCTGGGATATAGGGTGCGTTCCAGGTAAATCTGGGCTACAGAATGAGACAAAAAAGAAAAAAGAAAAAGAAAAGAAAACAAAAGACAAAGCCCAGAAGACATGACACTCACCTTTAACCCCAGCATTTGGAAAGAAGAAGCAGGCAAATCTCTGTGAGTTCAAGATCAGCCTGGTCTACACAGTGAGTTCTAGGACAACCAAGGCTACACATCCAGACCCTGTCTCAATTAAATTAAAACAAATCCACAGCACTCCTCAGTGGGTTGACTCTGTGGCTGTGCTTGTTCACATGCAGAGCTGACTATACTGTCCCGGAGAGGACAGAGACACAACAGCTCCATCATTTGGGAAAGTTCTGATGAACATCACCAAGCAGACCCTCCAGACACAGGTGTGACCTGTGACCCCATGACATCATAGTCCTTCTCCTGAGTATGCATGTGTGAGTCTGAGTTCTCTCCCAAGCCCAGGAGACAGGAACACAGGTGTGAGAGAATGCCCCCTCCCCCCAAATGGGTCGAGAACCGAAGCACAGAAGCACAAAGACCTTCAAGAATCAAGGGGGCGGGGGCTGGAGAGATGGCTCAGGGGTTAAGAGCATTGCCTGCTCTTCCAAAGGTCCTGAGTTCAATTCCCAGCAACCATCTGTAATGGTGGCTCACAACCATCTGTAATGGGGTCTGGTGCCCTCTTCTGGCCTGCAGGCATACACACAGACAGAATATTGTATACATAATAAATAAATATTTAAAAAAAATAAAAGAATCAAGGGGATCTTTAGGGAGGGACAAATCCAGGAGGCGGTTGTTGGGCAGGGAGGGGAGACTCTTGGGTGGAGCTGCCCAAAAGCTGTGCAGGGAACTCCAGGCATGCAGCTCTTTTTTTTTTTTTTTTAATGTACATTGGTGTTTTGCCTACATTTATTTCTGTATGAAGGTGTCAAATCAGTTTGAGCTGGATTACAGACAGTTGTGAGTTGCCATTTGGGTGCTGGGGATTGAACTCCAGGGTTTCTGAAAAAGCAGCCAGTGCTCTTAACTGCTGAGCAATCTCTCCAGTCTGGCATGCAGCATTTATGAGTCCTCATCCATGCTGGGGTGGGCTTTTCTGTAACGCAGCTTCAAGGGGGTTTCCCTTGGAATCTCGTGACTCCCAGACAACTCTGGTTCCCCAAGCTGGACTTGGATGGGCTCCTTCATTGGTCTGTCATTGCTCCCTCTGTCTGGGTTGAACAGGAACAGACTCCTCATGAAGCCACACAACAGGCACAAGCTGGAGTAGTGGGGGAAACTTGCCCACCCCAAGAGTGAGCGCCCTAAATTCTACATCTTATGCCATTCATTTCTCTCACCCCACTCCCAGCCCTTGGATGATTTTCAGTTTGACAGAGAAGCATGTGTTTAAATTACACTTATTTTTATTAAATTACATTATTTATTGTGGACGTGGAATATCAAAGGACAAATTGCAGGAGTTGGTTCTCCCCTTCCACCATGTGGGTTCTGGGTTTTGAACTTGAGTTGCCAGGCTTCGCTGCAAGCGCTTGCACCAACTTGAGCTGCTCGCCAACCTGAAAGCTGTAATATTTAGCTTCCGGCTGCATCCCTGGGTAGGGATTGTTCCTGGAGAAAGCACTAATGGTACTTCCACTTCCGGTCTGCTCAGCATCCACACAGAAAAGAGACCTAGAGGAGCAGGGAGATCCAGGCACACGGGTGGGAAGCTGTCGGTGTGTGGGGACTGCCCACCCTTTTCACGAGTGAGTGCGAAAGTGCGCCCATGGGATGAGGTGGGAGGGTACCAGCTGGTGGTTGCAGCAGCAGACTCTAAAAAGTCTCCCACACGGAGGACAGGTGTGGGCCTTACGGGAACGCGGAGCTGGAGGCGACCTAAATGCCCATCTCTGGGCGAGTGGGTAAGCACAGCCGCTGTGGGCGCACTGCCGCAGTTACAGACAGGGAACTGGTTGTCCGCAGCTGTGTGGGGAGATCTCAGAAATGAAGCGTTAAGTGTTAATTTTTTTTTCAAAGTTAGTAGATTTATAGCACAATCTCATTTGTGTAAATTGGAAACGCAGAGACACACAAAGTCACAAATTAAAACGGTGCCTCTTGGCAGTTGTATATCAGGGCCCGCTGAAGGGGGTGTCTGGGAGGTGGATGGGTAGGGGTGGGGATGGGAGAGGAGGAGAGTCTTTTATGGGCCAATTGTGATTCTGTGTTGTGATCTGAAAAGTATGATTAATGACCTCGGGCACTGAGGGCTAAGGAAAAAGGAAGAAATAAAAACTGCAGACACATCGCAGCAATTGCTTTCTGGTTATGCGGATCTGATGACTCCAGAGGTGACGGGCGACATCAGGGTACCAGACCCTTCCCCAGCCTTTCCTAGGAATTGCCCTTGTCCCCAGCAAATGAGGACCTTCTTCCCTGTTTCATATTACCCAGCAGTCAGAAAGGAGACACCTTAACTGCTGAGGCTTTGTGTGTGTGTGTGTGTGTGTGTGTGTGTGTGTGTGTGTGTGTGTGTGTGTCTTCTTCAGTCACTCTTCACCTTGTTTTTTGGTCTCTCACTGAACTGGGACCTTACCAGTTGGTTAGACAGGCTAGCTAGCTAGCCCCAGGGAGCCTTCTGCTGTCTCCCCCAGCGAAGCAACTGCAGGTGTGAAATATGGTACTGGTTTTTAGTATGTGTCCTGGAGATCAAACTCAGGTCCTGCAGCTCGTGAGACAGCAGTTTTCCTAAGCAAGCCGTTCCCTCAGCCCACCTCTGTTACGTTGGTTCTGGAGATGGTCTTGCTGTCCAGCTAGTCTCTTCCTCCCATCTCCTGCATGCTGGGAGTAGGAGCTCCTGACAGCACACCCAGCTCCAGCTCTGTCCGGGCTCTTGCCCCATCTCTCAGCAGCAGGCACAGCGGGGGTGAAACAGAGAATTCTGTACACACACTGGCCTGTTACTGACCACTAGAGGGACCCCCAAAGAAGTCATCAGAAAAGTGGGGCAACCATTATCTGGATCAGGGTTCTTCTGAGAGGCGGAATCCTTGGACACACAGTCACGTACCCCTCAACAGCACGCAGCCAGTCATGGACCACCATGCCCAGTCAGAGAGTGTAGAGGGGTTTTATTGTTGTTGTTTAAAGATTTATTTATTTTTATTTTATGTGTACTGGTGTTTGTCTGCATGTATGCATTTATCATGTTTGTGCCTGGTGCCCGCAGAGACAGAAGAGGGCATAAGAGACCCTGGAGCTGAAATTATGGACATTTGTGAGCTGTCGCGCGGATAACCCATGTGTTGTAGAAAACAGCTGATAGTCTAATGAAAAACGGAACAGCCAATAGCAAGACAGGAGAAAGGATAGGCGGGGCTGGCAGGCAGAGAGAATCTATAGAAGGAGAAATCTGGGAGAGAAAGTTGTCAGAAAAGAAGGAGGACATCAAGGGTCAGCCACCCCGCTATACAGCAAGCCATGGAGTAAGAGTAAGGTTTACAGAAGTAAGAGAATGGAAAAAATCTCAGAGGTAAAAGGTAGACAGGATAATTTAAGGAAAGTTGGCTAGAAACAAGCCAAGCTAAGGCCAGACATTTATAACTAAGAATAAGTTTCCAAGTGTGATCTATTTGGGAGTTGGGTGGTGGGCCCCCCAAAAGATCAAAAACAACAACACCTAGGTCCTCGATGAGACCAGTAAGGAATGTGGATTTCTTTTCCTTTTTTATTTTTGTTTTTTTGAGACAGGGTTTCTCTGTGTAGCTCAGGCTGTCCTGGAACTCGCTCTATAGACCAGGCTAGCTTCAGACTCACAGAGATCCGCCTACCTCTGCCTCAAAGTGCAGGGATTAAAGGTGTGCGCCACCACCATGGCCTGGCCAGGAATGTGGTTTTCTTACAGTCAAGAGTGCTCAGCTCCAAATTTCCTCCTATCAACGCCCTCGTTCTTCAGGAGGCTCCTTCTTCCTCATACAGCCCACTGACTCATAGGCCTGCCTCTTCCCCAAACACCCTCAAGTACCCAGAAAGGAATCCTTTCCAGCTACCTCCCGAGCATGACGACACCCAAAAAATAATCCTCACAATCGCAACAGCAATTACTCACTCACAGGAATCTTAATGAGACATCCTTCCCAGTCAGGGAGCCTGTTCCGCACCCGCCCACCCTCCACCTCTCGTTCCCACTGTGACCTCGAGCCTTCTGCCCATTCCCACTACTGCCCCCCATCTCCAGTGTAGTCTAATTTGGGGAGCCCTGCCCTTCGATGTCCTGAAAGAGATGGTTTTGCAGGCTCCCGACACTGGATTCTGTTTCTCTTTCCTTCCTGGAACAACATCACACGCCTGACCACACCCACACCTGCTCACCTACCTGGCCCAGGAATTGGCTCCATCGGTTGACTATGCCTCTGAAGAGTATATTTTGGTGTCCCTTTACCTTTTTTTCACTTTTTTTTTCTGCTAAAAAGCAGAGCCATGAAGCTCGGGGGACACTTGGAACTTGAGAATGGCTACACTATTGCTGCTGGGTCTGGTGACCATGATGCTGGGCTTGGCCACAGCTGGTCCTGTCCTTTCTTCCAAGCCCACTCCACCCAGAACAGGCTGTCGCATTGGCATTTCCCAGTCTTTGTCACTACAGGAGCTAGAAGTCTCCAAGAAAGGCAAGGATGCTTTGGTGCGTTGCTGTTACCATAATGGACTACCCTCCATCTTTCCTACTGGGATGAAGACGGCAGCCTGGCACTGTGGGCTAACCTCTGACCTTCTGCTACCGGCTAGGATTGAGTCTCCCAGCTATGACCTGTCTATCCTTCCCGTCATTAAATCACCTCAAACCCTCCCACCAGGCCAAGAGTCACTCTTGCTGCTGAGAACTGGGCCCTGTCTCTCTGTATGGGCTAACCTGTGCCTTTCTCTTCAGGAGGAACGGCTGCTCTGGAAGGCTGCTGCTGTCCAGAGCAGCACCAGTCCCTTTCCCAGCAGTCAGAAACTGGAAGCCAGGTGAGGGTCACCCCCTTGCCCTATCGCTTCCGTCCTAAAGCAGCTCCTTTGCCCGTCCCAGAACCCCATGTCCCTCAAGTGCCTCTGCCCTCCCATGCTTATCAGCTCCTTCAGCCCAATCTCTTTTGGGGGCAGGGGGACAGAGGGGTCTCACTATGTAGCCCAGGCTGGCCTCAGTCATGAGGTCCTGGAGACCCTCAGCCTCAGCCTCCTGACTATGCTGGGATCATAGACACATGGCACCATACCTGACTCATATTTCTCTCCCTTCCTCGCCCAGCCTGTCTGGCACCCATGCCCTGTTCTGTTCCCTGCTTCTCCTCCACCTCCCCTACCTCGCTATTCTGTCCTCTTCTCCCTGCTCTGTTAAAGCTCTGTGAACCCGGAGTCCTGTTTGCCTTTCACCAGTCTCCTCCCTTCCTTTTCCCCTCACCTGGACCTTCCTCATCTCTGTTTCTCCTCAAACACTCCTGATCTCTGGATCCCTCTTGTCCACATCTGTCTCCACCAAGTGTCCTGCAACACCTTCCCCCTATGTTGTATTCCCTACACAACCCGACTTACCTCTGCCTTTTGGGGTTTGGGACAGGTGTGTATGTGGTTATAGGGACTCAATTCAGGTCTCACATAGGCTAGGTAAGTCCTCTACCACTGAGCCACACCCTAGCCCCTCACTCCAGGATTCTAGGCAGGGGCTCTACCACACAGTCATGCCCCCCACCTCCTTACTGGGTATTCTAGGCAGGGGCTGTACCACTGAGCCATGCCCCAGCCCCTCACTGGGAGATTCTAGGCAGGGGCTCTACCACTGAGCCAAACCCCCAGCCCCTCACTGGGAGATTCTAGATAGGGGCTCTACCACTGAGCCACATCCCCACGTCACCTTGGAAGATTCTGGTCAAGCACTCTGAGCCACACCCTCAGCTGGTACCTCAGCTCTCTTACCTGTTTCTTCTGAGTACCTGTTATTTCTCGCCTCTTCTCAGGTCCAGGAGCGCCCCAAAGCCCTGCAGGCTGAGCTGGCCCTGACACTGGAGGTTCTGGAGAACGTGACTGACTCAGCCCTGGGCCCCATCCTGCACCAGCCTCTTCACACACTGTGCCACATCCAGTCCCAGCTGCAGGCCTGTGTGAGTCCTGGGTCCCCGGTTCCTCCACATTGTACCTCCAGCCACGGGGACTTCCCCTGTGTCCCAGCAGCAGGCTCACAGTCCCCTCCTCTGTCCACAGACACAGTCTCAGCCCACAGCAGAGCCCGGGTCCCCGAGTGGCCGCCTCTTCCTCTGGCTGCACAGGCTCCAGGAGGCCCAGGAGAAGGTGAGTCTGGAGAGGGACCTGGATCTGCAGAGCCTGGGAGCCCTGAGCCCCGGCAGTCCCTGAGCCAACCCTGTCCTTTCAGGAGACCCCCGGCTTCCTGGTGGACTCTGTCACTTCCAACTTCTTCCGCCTGCTCATGGGGGACCTGAAGTGTGTGGCCAGGGGAGATCAGTGTGAGTACAGTGGCCCGACACAGCGCATCCAAGATTCCGGACTCCACACTCGGTCCCACCCCTCCCTTAACTTATTTCCTCTCACTTTTTATTTATGAAGCTGCGGTTCAGGCTGGGTTTATTTTTCCTATTTTTATACAATATATGCAAATAAACAGTGAGAAGTTGGACCCTTCTTGTGATCCTTGAGTGTGTGTTCGTGTGTGACTGTGGCATGCAACTGAGTGTGGATGACTGTGTGGTGCAGAGGACACTCGAGATTGCATTTGTGTGTCTGTCTTCTGTGATGTGTATCCAAGGGACCATGTTTCCAAATCAGCAACTAACCAAGGATGTGTCACGTCACTGTGGCCTGTCCATGTTCACACATGTTTACAAACATGCTTATAAGTCTTTCTCTAGTCTGTATGTACCATGTATCTCTTTTAAACGTCTCTGGGACAGATGGGGGGGTCTCTCTCATTCAGGAAGCTGTCATCTTATAATAAGAAATTGGAAAACCTAACACGAGCTGCAGAGTTTGTACAAGGGTGAGAACTTTAGGTTTGATCCCCAGCATCCATGTAAAAAGGAAAAAAAAAAAGATACAGTCAACTTTGGAAGTGGACACAGGACAAGGATCCCTGGGCCTAGCTATCCACCCAGTCTAACAGTTGGTAAGCTTCAGATTTAGTTGTAGACCTTGGCTCAAAAATAAAGTGAAAAACAATTGAGAAGACACATAACACACATGTCAGGCCTCCATGCACAGGCGCATGTACAAGCAAGTACACACACATTAAAACATGCAGACCAGGGGCTGGAGAGACTGCTCAGCAGTTAGGAGCACTGGCTGCTCTTGCAGAGGACCTGAATTGGAATCCCAGCACCCACATCGTGGCTCACCACCATACATACATAATTCCAATCCGGGGGATATGATGCTCTCTTCTGGCTTCCATGGGCATCAGACATACCCTTAGTGTATATACATATATGCTGGCACTCATGTGTGTGCATAATATAAAAATAATCACATGCTTACAAAAGATAAAAATCAATTCAGAAGACAACTGGTGTTGATCTTCGGCCTCCACATGCACATATAAGCTCATACACATGCAAGCAAAACACAGACACACATACATCTAAAGAAAACCCAATTTGGGGCTGGAGAGATGGCTCAATGAGTTAAGAGTACTGGCTGCTTTTCTAGAGGACCTGGTTTCAGTTCCCAGCGCCCACATGGCAGTTCACAGTTGTCTGTAGTTCCAGTTCCAGGGGATCCAGCACCCTCAAACAGACATGCAGGTAGGCAGGCAAAACACCAATGCACATAAAGTAAAAAAAAGCAAAAAAGAAAAGAAAAAAGAAAACCCAATTCATAAGGCAGAAATAAAAGGGAATTTGTCATCACACACAAGAACATGTGTATTGCCGGGCAGTGATGGCACACACCTTTAATCCCAGCACTTGACAGGCAGAGGCAGGAGGATCTCTGTGAGTTGGAGACCAGCCTGATCTACAGAGCAAGTTCCAGGACAGCCAGGGCTACACAGAGAAACCCTGTCTCAAAAAAAGTAAAAAACAAATGTATTGTGCTCCACAAGATTGTTCAGCACTAACATTGTGGACATGAGCTTGGTAACCAGGAACCACACAGTGGAAGGAAAGAACTTACCCTCCAACTCATCCTCTGACCCCAACAGCCACCTTAGAGTGTGTACATTTTAAAATTACACCTCCTGTGTATGGTGTTCTGGTGTGTCTGTGTGTCTGTGTACCATGTACATGCATTGCCCACAGCGGCCAGAAGAGGGCATCGGATCCCCATAACTGTGGTTACAAAGGATTGTGAGCCACCATGTGGGTGCAGGGAATCAAACCCAGGTCCTCTGGAAGAGAAGACAGTGCTCTTAACCACTGAGCCATCTCTCCAGTCCCCCAAATGTAATTAAATAAATACATAAATAAGAGAACATGTGTATTATTCTGGGTGTAATGGTGGTGCTGTAATCTCAGCCCTGAGAAAGTGGAGGCATGAGAAATCAGCAGTTCACAGTCATCCAAAGCTACACAACCAAGAGAAACCTCTATTCCCGACAATCTGTCCCTAGAAAGATGAATGCCATTAGACGGTGAGGTGGTCAGGGCAACATTCTATTGAACACAGACCTTGCAACTTCATGCTTGCTTATATATGTGTGCTTGTGTGTGTTCATGTGCATGTAGATGTGCTCGTGTGTGAGTGCACCTGAGGGACAAAGGTGCACTCAGGACCTCAGCTGCCATCCCTCAATAACTGTCCACCTAGTTTTGTTTACTTCCTAGTTGTCCTGTGGCTTGTCAATTAGGCTATGCTAGCTGTACAGTGAGCACCACAGACCCTCCCATTTCTGCATCCCTGGCAGTGGATTACAAGTACATGCCTGACTTCCCTCCACTCTGGAGAACTGAACTCGGGTCCTCATACTTGTGGGGCTCGCACTTTACTACCTGAGCCAGCCATCTCTCCAGCCCCAAGAGTGTATCGCTTCTATCATCAAAATATGGAAATAAATAAGTTTGAACTCAGCCAGGACTACATAGTGAAACTCAGATAGATGATAGATAGATAGATAGATAGATAGATAGATAGATAGATAGATAGATAGATAGATAGATAG